CTGATGCGGAGGGCGATGATGTGGCAGGTATTATTGAGCTAGCTGAAGAGGTGTTGCCAGCAGGGCAGGGTGAGGCGAATGCAGCTGGTAGCTTGCTGGATATCTCAGTAGTTGAAGAGACTGAAGAGTACATCGGGAAATCAAATGAAGCTGATACACGTAAGGCTGCAGATAACATGGGGAAAGCAATGGAAGATGGCACATGTGAGGCAGAGATAATGATGAAGGAAAGAGAAGATTTGCAGCAGGGGTGTAATGATGAGGTTCAAAGTGTAGGAGATCATTCTCCTATAACAGGTTTTGTGAGAAGTTTGAGTGGGCCTTCGAGGGTTAGATCAGGTATCCATTTGGAAGTTTTATTGGGCCATAAGCAAAGGATTAATCCGAATTATGGGCTTGATTCACTGCAACATTTTGGACCTGGTAATGTAACTGGCATTAGGATACCTAATTTGTGGGCTGAGCATGGATTTATGGAGTTGGGCTCTAAGCCTAATGAGTGTGATCCTATTAGCGTTTCCAATAGTGACTCTGCTGCTACTAAGATAAAGTCAAGAAAAGACAAAGGGAAAGGTAAAGTTGGTGCTAGAAAGTCAATGGCAACTCGTGGTTTCACTGGTTTTGCTAGAAGATTAGGGCATGGAGGAGCTGGATCAAGTAAAAGCACTCATAAAAGAGCTGTAGTCAGATCTGCAGCTGCTGTTATGTTGAAGTCTACTTCCGAAATTTCTGCTCATAGTAGCATCAAAGGAAACTTCCATGAGGCACAACAAACACTACTCTTGGGTAAAAGCTTGGGAATTGATTGCAAGGGTCAAGATGAGGCAGTAATTCAAAAACTTGTGCAGATGGAGGAGATGGATAAGGCTCGGCTTAGGGTCGGGATTGAGGGGACAGAATAAGGCGCTCTCTCTAGGTGGTGTTGAAGTGCTTAAATTTGTTCTTTTGAAGTGGTTAAGCTGGAATATCAGAGGGCTTGGCAGGCCTGAGAAGATGAGGAAAATAAGGAAGCTTTTGGCAGACAGAAAAATTGACATGGCTTTGTTTCAAGAAACTAAAAAAGCAAGCATCTCAAGTGTGGATATTAAAAGATTGTGGCCTAGAGATAACTTCGAGTTCATGGCTGTTGATGCTGAGGGTAGGGCTGGTGGGCTGCTTTGCATCTGGGATCCTGTCGTATTTCAGCTCACAGATTGTTGTAGCAATAGAAGTTTCCTTCTGCTTGCAGGTACTATTCTCAACTCCTTTGCTTGTGTTGTTATTAATGTGTATGCTCCAAATGATACTGTGAGGAGAGGCAAACTATAGGAGACTCTTGTAAGCTTGAAAGCTATTTTCCACACACCTTGGTGTGTAGGTGGAGATTTAAACGAAATTAGATCTGTGGGTGATAGAGTGGGATGCCTAAGAAGGGAAAGGGGTATGAAGGACTTCAATGAATTCATAGATAGATGCGAACTGACTGAGTTACAAATACTGGGAAGGAAATTTACCTGGTGTAACGCGTTTGATGGGAATAAATGGAGCAAAATAGATAGATTTCTGCTAAGCCCAGAGTGGATTGAAAGATTCAAACTTAATCTTTGGGGATTACCTAGACTGTTGTCTGATCATTGTCCCCTTCTTTTATTGGAAGAGGAAAGGGACTGGGGGCCCAAACCTTTAAAATTCTCAAATGCCTGGTTGTTACATCCTAGTTTTGCTTCCCATCTTGCATCAGTTTGGAAAGAGTCACAAATACATGGCAGAGCAGGGGCAATATTGCAAAGGAAATTACATGTATTAAAGTCAGCACTAAAACAGTGGAGCAAAGAGGTGTATGGTAACGTGCTAGAAAAACTGAAAGCAGCAGAGAGTGAGTTACACTTCCTAGATGTACTGGCTGAAGTCAGACCGTTGGTGGACACAGAGCTGAAGTTAAAAAGAGAGATTAGAAGTGAAATGTGGAGGCTTAACAGAATGTTAGAATGGTCATCGCTACAAAATTCTAGATTAGAATGGAACCTAATTGGGGACAGGAACACTAGATTTTTTCATGTGATGGCTAGCAGTAGGCAGAATAGGAACGCGCTGAATTGTATTTTAGTTGATGAGTGAGTGGTAGAGGAACCAGAGCATGTGAAGCAGGCAGTTTGGGCACACTTTAACAGGCATTTTTCAGAAGAATGGAGGAGTACCTACAATATCAGGTGACTTCAAGAATGTCAGATGCAGTAATTTTTTTAAGCAGTTGGAAACAGAGTTTTCAAAGGAGGAGACATGGGCAGCAGTAAAAGAGTGCGATGGGAATAAAGCACCAGGTCCAGATGGGTTTAACTTAATGTGCTTTCAAAAGAACTGGAAGGTGTTTAAAGATGAGGTGATGTCTTTCTTGAAGGAGATTCATAGTTTGGGTCGTTTGTCACATGAGATGAATAGTTCTTTTATTACATTAATACCCAAAAAGGTCAACGCAGGTCAGTTAAATGATTATAGGCCTATAAGCCTGATTGGGTCAATATATAAGATTTTATCTAAAGTTCTCGCAAGTAGACTCAAATCAGTGATGTCAGAAGTAATTAGTGAAACTCAATCAGCTTTTGTGGGGGAAAGGAACATCTTGGATGGGGTTTTGATTGCGAATGAAGTTGTGGATGGGTGGAAGAAATCCAAGAAGAGGGGGCTGCTACTCAAGCTTGATTTTGAGAAAGCTTTTGACTCCATCAACTGGGGCTTTTTATTTTCCATGTTATCAAACTTTGGTTTTGGCTACAAATGGATTTCATGGATGGTAGAGTGTATCTCCACTGTTAGAATCTCAGTCCTTGTGAATGGGTCCCCAACAAAAGAGTTTAACCCTCAGAAAGGACTCAGGCAGGGTGATCCATTATCACCTTTTCTGTTCAATTTGGCAGCTGAAGGGCTCAATATTCTACTGCTCAGAGCTAGGGAAAAGGGATTGGTAAAAGGAATACATGTTGGAGGTAATGGGGTGGTTGTTTCTCATCTTCAATTTGCCGATGACTCACTTTTATTCTGTGAAACGGATATGCAGGAGGTGCTGAACCTGAAACGAATATTAAGGTGCTTTGAAATGGTCTTAGGGCTCAAGATTAATTACCACAAGAGTGTAGTTTGCGGGGTTGGTCTACCTGACAGTTTGATCAAGGATTTTGCTTCTTTACTTAATTGTAAGACTCAAAGTTTGCCTTTCAAATTCCTTGGCCTTCTTTTGGGTTCTTCACCAAGTAGAAAAAAGTCTTCATTACTACAAAAATAGATAAAGATCACACTTTTTTTGTGTGATGTATGTTATTTAATCACACCTTTTAAGTTTTATTAAAGTGTGATATTTGGGAGTGTGATTCAAAGTAGTCATTTTTAATCACATTTTTTAAGGGTGATTAAAAATATTTAGAACACATCTTTTAAGTGTGATTAAAAATATTTTGATCACATCTTTTAAGTGTGATCTTTGGAAGTGTGATTAAAAAGGATCATTTTTAATCACACTTTTTAAGTGTGATTAATAACATTTAGATCACACCTTTTAAATGTGATTAAAAATATTTACATCACATCTTTTAAGTGTGATTAATAACACTCACTACTAAAAAAAATACTTTTTGCGACCGTTACATGCCGTCGCAAATAGTAAAAATACAGTCACAAAAGACTTTTTGCGATGGCCTATGCGACCGCACATGGGGGACGCAAATGTGGGGGTGGCAAATACTTTTTGCGACGGCAAAGCAACGGTCACAAATTATTTGCGACCGCCTAAACTACTTTTTGCGACAGTTATTTTGCCGTCGCAAAAAAAAAAATAAAAAATAAAAAACACTTTTAGCGACCATTGTTTTACTATCGCAAATAATTATTTATTAAAAAAAATCATATATGGGTTTGCTACAACAAAAAAATCAATTACAAGCACCAAACAATTTTTTGTAAATGAAAAATAACAAAATAAACAAATTAATTAAATTTATAATAGACATTATCCATTAACCATCTTTAAATACACTGTACTAAAAAATTCAAGTCTTCAAAAAAAAAGAAAAAAAAAGAAAAGAAGAAGAGCAACATAATCTTTGGCTCCCAACATCAACCACTCGATCATATCAACTATTCCCCCAACAAAATCTGCAAAAACATATATCAAACTTAACTTGAAAATTTAATGCACTTAAATGTGTTAGTTTAGCTTAAAATAATCAAAATAAAACTATGTTAGTGACCTACCTCTATGGCAGATCAGTGATTTGCAACAAGAGTTTCAATTACCTTAAGAGCAACTTCAAGCTTAACTATGGGATCACTTAATTATGGCGTGCGGAATTATATAACAGTATTGTGGCGAGAGATTTCCCTAAGAGCAGAAGATAGCTAGCTCTACCAATAATGTTTTCCTCAATCATTGGCAACTTAAATTACAAGTTCTCTTTCTACTTGTAAATATGATGAATTGAGGCTGAGAGTACATAGAAATATTATTTGTTTACAATTTAACAATGAGACAAAAACAAGGTGAGTCTTATATTCAATTCTAGAATTAAATTTGTCATACAATGCCTTCAATCTAATAGAAAGAGTAAATTTTGCACATAGAACTCAAATACTATTTTGTCTGAAATTCCCTGGGAAGAGTGTGCAACATAGTGATAATAAAAGAATGGTGCCACACAGCCTTATCTCTAACGAAAGTCGAACCCTTAACCTTTCATACCTGAGAAGTAGGAAGTTGATGTTGTTGGGTTAGAAGACTGTTTGGCACATATAAAATAATTACTTAGAATCAAGAAATTTTGGAAAGAGGGTGATGAGTTTTTCACCCAATTTAGAGTAATGCCCTGCTTCTAGAAATTAATGCAAGAAATTAGTGAGGTAAAGATGACAAGTGATGTTGATGAGAAAGTGAAATGATGGTGAAATTGAAAAAAACATGAACGATTCAAAATGAAAGTTGTAGTAGAAGAAATTGGGGACATGGATCTGGGTTTATCAGAATTTTTTTTCCTAAAAGGTCTCTAAAATCATAATCAATGCTTTAGGTTTACCTAGATCCAAAACCTCAAGCCCAAGATAGGGAATGAGAGGCTTTGGTATAACTATAGTTGGATGTCCAGCATAGGCCATCAACAGAGGAAGAGCAGCAATTGATGGCAATAATAATTTCCTGTTCTTCATAGTCAGAAAGACCAAGTTTAGCATTAACTCTGAATGCAGTAATGCAAAGAGAAAACAGTGCTCTTGAAATAAATGGCCGATAAATCCAAAAAATATGATTGGAATACTCACACTCTCCAAGGGACATCGAGGACATCATCTACAAATCCAAGCAAAATCATGAAGCAGATGGATGCTAAAGCCGCATTGTACTCAACAAGCCACTGCACATATTAATAATCAACAGTTCAGTCTATCACTAGTTAGAGCAAATAATGTTCCTCACCTAACAATGCAGAAGAAAGAGGGCTGTAATACCCAAAAAAATACAAATAGAAGACACAATTGATGAGGGAAAATAGAAGTACAACACTTGTTACAACTTACAACATATAACACAGAAGTTCATAACAAACTCACACATCCTTACAATAAAGTACAATTGACAAGGCCAAAAAGAAAAGATGGTCACCATATACAATAAGGTAAATTACAAAATCATTAAAACTGGAAGCTAATAATTTTTTTTTCCTAGAAGTATATTAAGAAAGCATCAAGAGGGGATGCCACCCAATTCCCAATTCATGGAAAGGAACCTGCCAAAATGGGGTTGCTTTCCAACCATCTCATTGTAATAGGTAATTTACTAAAGCAGCTTCTATTTATATAATTTTCCTTATATATAATATGGATAATTTGAATGTTCAATCCACCAAAGTCTAAATTAAAAGAGGATGATCTCATCATAGTGGAATGCACATGATTCAGAATTGAGGACGATCTCATCATAGTGGAATGCACATGATTCAGAATTATTTTTTTTTTAACTAGTGCTATGTACTCATATTTTTATTTTTAAAAAGTTTGTAAAATTTTAATATATAGCATAGATTTAAATTTGTATAGTGTAACTCACACATAATAAATTCAATTCACATATGATGTTTTTCTGGGAAAATTGTCTGAGGCTCTGTTTGGATCAAAGATTTGAGGAATGACATGCAAAAGGAAAGAAAATAGGAAGGATATCAATTCTCAAATCCTTAATCCAAACATAGTCCTAGAAGTGTTCTAAGTTGGGCCGTAATGTGAAGAATGAACCTCTTAGCAGCATGTTTCAAGCCATGACAGAGAGTTGTGGGATAGGCTTCAAAGCCAAGCATCACTTTTATTTCTCACGAGCAGAAACTGTACATAATGGGGCTGCGATGGGCCAAACGACTAGTCTGATCATTCATTACACAATCAACTTAGTGGAAGTAACCATACCATAGAGCTCCAAGAAGCAAATGCAAAAGTTCCATGGATTAGAATCATCGGTTGTGGGAGCAGTCAACATAACCCCTAAAGAATATGAAGGGAAGCAGAGCATTGGGACCTATTATTGGCCATGAAGCAAATTGACCCAGTTTGCACATTGTCTGGTCATTCTCGTGCACTCTCAAGTTTGTCAAAGTCTTCCCATCCAGAGAACCCTAGGACTCAAGACAATAGGAACTCGCAACTTTGCTTGTCAAAAAACGCTGGCCCATGCCTCCAAATTTTGGATTAGCAGAAAAACATAAATTATCCCTTAAATTCAAGCCTGAATTTTCGAAAGTAGTTCCCTATATTTTTATAACAATTGCAAGAGCATTGAAGAACAAAAAAATGGCAAGATTTAGATTCTTACAATTTCAGGGCACTCATAATCAATACCAGCAGCTTCAATCTTCTTACGCTTTTTTTGGTCACTGTAGACGTCCCCGAACGCCCCGGGAGGGATGAGCTCCCGTTCCGTTCGATGTTGGGCTCACTACAGCTCAGGACTCTAAAATTGTCACGGTTCTCAATCTGAACCAAAGAGTCCAAATCCGGCAAATCGTTTTGAGAAAACAGATTTTGAAAGAAGTGCCAAACATGGACTGCTTTGCCAGATACAGAGTCGCCACCTAAATATTTTATTTTTGAAAAATTTTAGGAAACCCTGACTCGTTGCCTAAGGCCACGTGTCTGTCATCACCAAAGTTGCCTTGGCTCGGGAACTTGGGTACAATTGGGGAAGGTCACTTCGTGAGCACCCCCGATCAAAGATCGGCCTCTACTAACCATGATATCAAGTTTTGAAAACATTGTGTGTTCTTATTACGGTTATTAGCTAGATTACTATGTGATGCGCACAGCATACAAGTATAGACTGGGTCGCCTGAATTGAACAAAACATTTCATGTTTGTTTTTTAAAGATGGTTTGCTACTCGCAAGTAGGCTTAAAATGCAGATTTTGCCACCCTCGGTGGGCTTAAAAAAAGATGATTTTGCCACTATCTAGTGGGCTTAAACGCACAATTGATGATTTGTTCCAATCCGAATAACTCAACCTTCATCCACAGACATTCAGGAAGTTATATCACATAAGCATATAGCCTCATGGTAAGCATGCTATTCATGGCAGTCACTCACACGCATGCAAAGATGCTAAAGCATAAAAACTTACGAGTACTCCAAGGCAAAACAGAAGCTAATTAGAAATCCATGCATGATCCTAATTATACAGAAATGCCTAATGCACACATGCAAAAATGCAACTATAGCAGGCCTCGGCTATTCTAAACATGCATTGAAATGCTACAGTTAACATGTATTCAACTTAGAATTGAAAATACAATGCAGTTAGTATGATGCACCGAGCTCGGTGCATGCAAGACAGATGAAATGAATGCAAACATGCTATCATACTGTATGCTAATTGAAACATGTCCTAATGTAACCATTATAAGCGAGTAAATAAAAGGGAGAAAGACGTGGGGTTGGAAGACATACATCACACACACGCACACTTATTACAATATTGCCCTCGCGCAGAGGGTCCGAAAGAATAATACAGTCCCAAATAATTACAGTCCAAATAAATAATGCAGTCCAAATATGTACAAAAATCCTAATTAATTACCAAATTAACTAAGAAAACAATAAACTGGCATGCAAGCCAGGGACTGCCTTGACTCTTCTTCAGATGATGAATGATGCATATCTGGGTCGCCTTTGCACGGAAATCCATTGTGATGCCCCAATTAGCCTCTGTTTTGCAATATTTTTTGAAAAGCACGCCAAGCCCCGAAAGACTGCTGATTCTTGATTTGCTGCAACAGAAAGCAGGAAAGGGACATGGCAATGTATTTTCACAAATGTATGCATGCCTCGATCCTCGTGCCACCAATCACGCATCTCGATGCATGATGGCCGAGGAGTCGAATTGCACGACTCAATATGAAATGAATGCACATGTAAACACAACAAAACCTAAACTCCATCATGGATAATCCGGAGTGTCGGTGACTGGGAATTGAGACACGTTCCGTCACTCGGAGTACGAAACGTACCTCGTTTCCCGTGCTCGGCCTAACTCTTATCCCAAGCACAATGCAATATGCATGACATGCATGAATGCAACTAATATACAACCTAGCATGCACAATGCTATGAGATGGCATACACAATGCACGATGTAACAAGGCATACGCAATGCTCTAACATACAACCTAGCATACGCAATGCTATGAAATGAAATGGAATACACAATGCAATATGGGCTTACACCAACATGAGTGGACCTCAGCCACACTCACATAGGAGGCCATTGGATGAAAATGAGACTCTCGAGATGCGTGCACGCGTACACGCAAACCGAGGACTGAACCTAAGGCACAAATGCCACTCTAACAAGACATGGCAAGGCATGGAATACGGCATACTAGCATGAAAATTTCAGTGAAAAAATATGACCCAAGACAGCCCCGAATCATGGAAACATGGCACCCGATGCACGGAATGAACCCGAAACACAAAACTAGGCATATGCATTAGCCTATAGCTATACAAAACATGCATTATTTGAACATGAAGTGTGAAGACAGATTCAAGGCAGCCCCAAAAAAAACATTTTTACAGTTTTAAGAAAGGCCAAACAATGAACACAAATGGGGCTAAGCTAGCATGCAAAAATGGCCCTAAATGTGAGATAAAGAAGCAAGTCATGGCTGCTGGCCTCAAAAAAGATAGGGCCCTTCAACAATTTTGAAGAGAGACCCAAAACATGGCATTTTGCAGTTTATGATCAAGCTCAAAACAGTGCACATGCAAGCCTAAAATACTATGCAAAATAAGGCCTAAAAAGAGGCCTAAACACAAAGTGTAAAAGGGAAGCCTCAAACAGAAAAAGTCCCTTGATAAAACATGAAGAGGGGGTCAAAATAAGGCCATTTACAGTTCGGACCAAAGCCTAAAAAAATAAGAACAAGGGGCTAACAAATCATGCAAAAATAAGGCCAAAATAGGGATATAAAGGAAAGTGGAAAATGGAAACCTCAAACAGTGATGAGCCCTTCAACAATGTTGAAGAAGGGCTCAAAATAAGCCACTTTACATTTTATGACAGTGCTCAAAACAGTTTACACGTAGGTCAAAAATACTACACAAGAAATAGGTACACAAGAGGGGTAATGAAGCAAGTGGTGGCTAGGGACCTTAAACATGGAAGGACCCTAAAACAAACATGAAAAATACATCAAAAAAAGTCTATTTTCAGTTAGGGTCGGAGCCCAAATATGCAAGCATATATGGCTTAGAAATGATACAAAAATAAGCTTAAAAGAGGGGAAATGTTGCTCACCCTTGAAGACCAAACTTTAGCAGCCTTTTGGTTTGAGAAAAGGTGCCTCCAAAGCTCTGAGAAGGCCCTTCAAGCTTCTGGAATGGAGTGGTGGTGTGGTGTTAGGTGGTGGTGTAGAAATGAGTGTAGGACTTGAGAGGTTTGAAGCTTGGAACTGTAGAGGGAGAGAGATACAATATGGGAGCTCAAAGGTGGATTTTCTAACCCTTAAACCAGAGCTGGGAGGCTGGTTTTATAGGCAAAAGAGGGGGAGAAAAGGGGGGAAAACAATTCAAGTTTCCCCCCAAAAAGTTGGCCCCCCGGATACAAAATCTAGGGGAAAAGAGATATATATTTAAAATGTACCTGCAGCAAGGAGCAAGGCCGGCTGGTTATTGAGGTTACAGGTGGCCGGCCGGCTCTTCCCATGGCCGGCCGGCCAAGGGTCAAAAGGTTCAATGAGGATTAGTTGCCGGCCATGCCAAAAAAGGAGCCTCTCATGTGTGAACAACACAACCATGTGGTAAAAAACTGGAGAGAATGAACCAGGAGAGAGAAAAGGCCACTTTTAGGAAGGGTTCAAAAGGTTCAAAAGCAATTACTGGCCGGCCACCAAATATTGGTGGCCTCCCAGATGTGTACATCACAAATATGGGGTTTAGGGTGCAAGAAAATGGCCCAAGGGTGGTCAACATTGGCTTTTAAGTGAGAAAAAACGGGCGACGGAGGGCGATGGAGGGATAAAACTGGTTTTCTACACAATTACTAGCCTCCCACCCTTCTACGACCTTTCCAATAATGAAACAGAGGTCCCTGCCAAAAATGAGCTCAAACCGATGCAAAATGGAGGTTCGGGGGCCGAAACGCGCAGCTCGAGGCCCCGAAAACTGGCTATTAGGCACCAGAAGTGGTGTTCGACCACGAAGTTGGTTTTTCGGGCCACAGTGTCCCTCAAAAGGGAGCAAACAAGATGTATGCAAAAAATCGGGGCAAACGGAGGTGGTTAAGTGGTCCCGAACCGAGGCACACGGCCAACGGCTCCGAAAAATCTGAAACCAGACTCCAAACGGGCAAAATGGCCTACGACCACGAAACGTAGCCTACGGCCACTGAGAGATGGTCTACGAGACCTCTCCCTCCCTTTGGGAAGAGAAAACAAAGAAAACAGAGCCTGGTTCGCAAACCGAGGCAAAGCATGAAAGAGTCCGAAAGTCCGGAGGCAAGGCTCACAGCCGAGACTCTGAAACTTCTGAACGAGCACGATATGCAACATCACCAAGCACTCAATCGGTGACGTCTGAGTCTTAAGGTCGGTCAAAAATGGGGTGTCTACAGTTGCCCCTCTTTGACAGAACTCGAAAGTCATAAGTGACGGGAGTGAATGTCAAAGCCTAGAGACGACCCATTTTTGACAAGGCCGAAGACTTAGACAGACATATGAGATAAACAGAGATGTGCCCGCAGGCGGGGGCAAAATGCAACTGACAATGCAAGAAGCCGAAGGTAACTCAATGATCGTGTAAATGCAGCAAGCTGTAATGAAGCAAGTATTCGCAAATAGATGCAACAGTTTTAAGCAAGAATGCAAAGCAACAACTACATTTCATGCAGTTAGGAATGCAGAGAATTATTCAATTCTCGTCGCGTCTCACACGGAGAAGATACAATACCTGTGCGATTCGTCTGGTCGCACCAGCTTCAAATGAACCGTACATATAATATCGTGCCTGCAAAAGAAAGAAACTCAACAAGCACAATAGATTTAACAGCATATGTTCAATGTGATATCGAATGCAAACAATTGCGGTGTTGATGGAGAAGTGCATCGCAATGCGGGAAGAAACGCGCGTGACAACGCGAGTTTAAGCATGGAGGCTCGGTGATATCAAAGAGACGTGCATGACAATGCAAGTATGTGCATGACAATGCAAGTTATGTGAATGATAATGCAGAACAAGCGTAAACCAGGGTGTATATTTGTCACAAAACAATGAGCAAGGAAATGCGCGTTTCGGCGAAGACGACTTGATCGTGGCCTCCGGTTCACCTCCCGGAGAGGTTACAACATATTCGAAAGGATATATCCCACTTTCGATGAGT